ATGTGAAAAATTAGTTATATCCTTTTCAATAATATAGGAAAATTCTTTATTGCCATTATAGCAGTCAAACCTTATAGTCTTATAATTTGAACTTTTTACAGGTTTCCATTGGTATTTTGAATAATCAAAATACCAATGGATTTGGTATTTTGAATCATATCAATTCCATTGGTATGATTGTAAGGAGATTTTCTTGAGACTGGAAGATCTCCTTACCATCACTCTGATCTTTTGCTCTCTCCAGATATTCTGTCAGATTAAAGTTGGGACTCTGACTGGAACACAGTTTTAAAATGTACACCGACTCAAGGCAACTGCAGCATTGCTTTCAAATAAAGTTGACAGAAAGGACGTCTGTACTCTGTTGCTCACTAACAATGACGAGTTTGTTTAAAACAAGTTTGCTTAAAGTTATAATTGATGAAGTTTGAATCATACCTGATAGCTAAAAATGAGCTTTAACAGGGACATCCACAGTCATTCGTTAGGATTGAAAGTGACATCACACATTTAAGTTGACAGCATGAGTTTTCTGATGAACAGTCACGATGTGAAGCTAATTTTAGTAACTAGAATTTGACAGAAAGTTGAGAACTGAACACCTGGATATAAACGATGTGACCTGCGTTGCAGATAACTGCACCAACTACGAGCTCGTGATTGAACGGGTGTTCTCTGTGCCCGGGGACGCGGCCATGCTCAACAGCACCCTGCTGTCTCAGGACGTCTTTAACTTCACCGCCGTCCCGTTCAACATCACCTGGTTCAGCGCAAAGACGGGACAGGAGATGAGAAACGAGACCGGTCGGATTCTGGTGCTCCAGGAGACACTTTGGTTCCTCAACACCACTCTGGACGACGATGGGGAATACCTCGCCATAGTGCGGTAAGAGACTGAAGGCAAAGTCATTACAACAGATACACTGCAAAGTCCCCTGCTAAGCTTTGATATAGAGTTGTGTTTATTCTACAGAAAACTGATATTGGTACCACTTTACAATAAGGCTCCTCTTATAGATGGCTAATAAATAACTTTTATGTTATCAATTCATCTACAAACACTTTATAAATGACTAATAGCAGTTTATTCTTTATTAATTAAAGACAAGAAGCAGACTACATGCTAAAAGATTCCATTTACAAAAGCTTATTGTGCTTACAAGATGGTCTTATATGTTTAGCATAATAACTCTAGTTAAAATATACATTTGGCTCACTATTTGGCAAGAAACTGGTGGATATTCTTTGTCTTAATTGATGCATAATTAACAGTTATTTATACGATGTTTAGAGTTTAATTAATAACAGGTCTAGAACTATTTATTAGCAAACTATATGGGGTACTCTCTTCAACACAAGGCAGTTTACTAGCAGTAACTATATTAACATTGGAACATAATATAGATAGATTAATACTAAAAAATAAAGAAGGGTAGATATGTGTCGTACCAGCAGCTGTGTTCCATATTAATTATTTTAGCAGACCAAGTCAGAATAAAATTAAACAATTTTGCTTACTTGGATAAAAGTGCAAAGATACAAACCTGATAAGTTACTCGTGATTGGTGGTTTCGGACTCCACAGACGGTTTGGTTACTCTGAATATTTTCCATAGAAATTGTGGGGATATCACCAAACGTTCTTTTCTCCTCGTTGGGAAGTTAGAACTGAAAAGGCTTCTGTTAGCCGCAACATGACATCAAGGTTTGTCACTTTCCCCCCCTCCCAAATTATCGGAAGAGAACATGATGAGCTTCCCTCATCATGTTTCTAACCACAGCTTCCTGTTTGACCTACTTTATGTTTTCTAGCACTCTGCCATGACTTACAGTAAAACAGGCCTCTGATTGCTGTTAAAAAAAAAAAAAATCTTTGGTAACACTTTATTTGAAAGGGGGTGAATAAGACTGTCATGACACTGTCATAAACATGACATAACACCTGTCATGAACATGAATAAGCCTTCATGAATATTTATGACTGTTGTCATAAAGCGTCATTCGGTAAATTATGACACTTTTAATACAAAGTTGACATTATTCAAAATGTCTTTGTTATGACAACTTGACATTAACCAAGAAATTATTACTGATATAAATTTGTTATAAAAGAATTACTGATTTCACTTTAAAAATTAGGTAACTTTGTTATTAAAGGTAAAGTTTAAACAGTAATGATTTCCTGGTTAATGTCAAGTTGTCATAACAAAGACATTTTGAATAATGTCAACTTTGTATTAAAAGTGTCATAATTTACCGAATGACGCTTTATGACAGTCATTAATATTCATGAAGGCTTATTCATGTTCATGACAGCTGTTATGTCATGTTTATGCCAGTATCATGACAGTCTTATTCACCCCCCTTCAAATAAAGTGTTACCAAATCTTCTCTTTGCAGAAAAATTGTCAAGTAGTATAAAAAAACTCGTAAAAAAAAAAAAAGAAAAGCTGACGAAGATCCCGAAATTACATTTGAGATGGATAAACACAGTTCTATTGTGCCAGAGACGTCATGCCAAACCCATTGCTTTGTCTTTCCATGCAGAACTCCGTCTCAGTGCTACATGCAGACCGCGAAGCTGGTGATGGATCGGCCAGTTGCTGGAGAGTGTGGAAGGCCAAGAAAAGATTCTCGAAATGTGGAGACAAACGTGGTATGCCCTCTGAACAATTATATTCACAAACTGAAGACCTACGGCATGGACGTCTCTGTTAATTGGTACAAAGTGAGTAGCATGAAATTCAATGCACTGAGTGAGAGAATAAAATGCTTCTATTCAGATAAACACCAGTTAATTATCCTTGATTAAGGTTTTTTTTTATGCTTAGCTAATATTAATCCTTAAAAAGTTAAGAATTTTTAAGAATTAATATTGAAGTGTTGTTCTGTTGAGAGGTCATACATGGTAAATATTTTACGGTCGGAGGGCGATTTGGACAAAAACAAGGATTTTGCCATAGTCCTTAGATCTGTCACGATAACAGATTTTGCTGGCCGATTAGTTGTCCTAGGAAATATTGTGATAAACGATAACATTGTCATTTTGAGACCAGTGTTAACTAATAGCATGAAAATAATGTGAGCACAGCCCTCTCAGAGGTCAAAAAACTAATTTCAAAAGAACATTTAGCAGTAGAACTGTAAGACCTTTTAAATATAAAAAAACTGGGAGAGGAGTCTGGGGGAAGGTTTGCATTATTCCCTGTTCACATTCAGATCCTGGGGCAGGTGGAGGTGGGGGGTGTCCCCAAAAGATGCTGCCCTGGGTGGTTGCTCATGTTGTCCATAGCAGAAACGCCACAGCACCTCACTGATAGTGGACTGTCAATAGGATGCTCCTCGAGCAAGGAAACGTCTCTTCTTCTTCTCCTTCATGTTGTTGTTTAATGTCTGTTGCTGCACAAGTTGAAACTTGAGAGCAGACATGTTTAATATTTTCACATTTGGCGGCATCTCCTTGGAGATTTCTCCCTCTTTTTCACACTAACTTTTTTTTTTTTTTTTTGGCTTTTCGCATCCTCCATCTTCAGATGCATTTTTGCTTGGCGGAGAGTTCAGCCGCGATCTCTTCCTTCAGGAAGCGTTTGAAGGGCTGTAGTTCTTATTTGAAACAGTAGATGGCACTGCAGATAAACCCAGAATATATTCAACAGGGTTTTGGCACAACTGCCTGAAACATTAAAATTTTATTCTCTGCTTTAGTCTCAGATTGTAAGAAAATAAAATTGACTGGTTAAGATTGGATAAATATTTATCCCCCCTTTAAAAATACAAAATGATCATGGCCTTTTTTTTTTTTTTTTTTTTGAACTGTCTTGGCTCTTAATAATAGTGAAAATTTTTGTGAATATATAT